CAGACTCATGTTCATGTTTGTGCTGATGTTTGACGTAATGTTTTTATGCTATTAGTGCTTAGGGTATATTTAGTTGATGTTTTTCTTGGTTCATATCTTAGATGTTATCATTGTTTTCTTTAACATTTTATTGTTGGACGTAACTGGGACCCTGTGTACATAATTTCGCTCCACCACATGTACCACATGAGGTGCAAATGACAATAAAGAATCTCTGACTCTGACTTAAAATTTTATAGGTTTTCTTCATCATTTGATGTGTTTGCACTCATTGTGTCTACTTTTATTGTTCGATTTAGATATGTGGTTTTGTTTCTTGTTCACATATATATATATATTATTTTTAGCTTTGCTTTAAAGCTCTAGTTTAGTGATTTGTACATTTGTGGGTTAAAATAAAGTTGAACTAAAGGCCGTCTCTCTTCTTTAAACATATTTCAGGTAAATATTCCAGAGAGATCCAATAATTTTGTGTCTTTTTATGATTTGCAGCTGAGTTAACATTCATTAAAGTGAAAACAGAATTTCATGATAAAGCCGGCACCGGTTATATTATTATTTTTTTTTAATCTTCAACTCTAAAAACAATACTTGTTTTTTATGACTAGATCTGCTGGTCTCACATGATCCTCCCCCCTAGAGCCATGACGGGTGGGCGTCATCTTCCCAGCTCCGAGCCCAGCTGGTGACATGCAGAAGGCCGTTGCCAGACCCCAGTCTCGCGTAATCATGAAGGCCGAACCACGATATGCGCAGATGTGCGGACAGAGACAGGTCTGGGACGGACGGTGGAAGCGATTTTTACTAACATTTTATGTATTTAAAAAAAAACTGTTTTTTTTTTTTTATCGCTTCAGCAATTTTTAAAAACATTTTATGTATAAACACAAAATATTAGTTTATTTAAAAATCGCTTCCACCATCTGTCCCAGACCATCCAGTCCACCTGACTGCCGGGCGGGATCGGGATTCGGCCTTCATCATTACGTGAGGCCAGGGTCTGTGTTGGATTTGATATCTTTTATATCTTTTTCTATCTTTTGACAAGCCTCGACATTTCTTTGATGATGTGAAATGATGCATTTTCTTCAAGGTGTGTGCGGGTATAATCATACACTAATTACTTCATGTTATATATAATCTCACAAGTGCTAAGGATAATCATACAAGTTCACATTTGATATAATTCTGAGGGAAACAGAGACAGGTAAGACACTTGTTCGTGCAGCAGGAAACGATCCTTCTTTGTCCTCTGAGTAAAGCAGCTGAGAGTGAGGGCCCACCAATGTGACACACTGCTCACACGTTGATTAAACATAAATAACGCTAAATCACAACATTCATATACTTTATACTTAACACAGGTTGAGTATATATGCTTTCACATTAATAATAGTTCAGACACACAGAAAACGTGTTTTAAAGCTTTACACAGACGATAGCCAGAGTAAGTGTCCTGCGTTCCAAAACAAAGCTCGTAAATCAACCCTTATCAGTAGAAGAATGAGCGAGGCCGTCTGGGGCTCTCGGAGTAACCCTGGATATAAAATCTGCTCCTGAGTGGCTGAACAGGGTGTCACTCGGACTATCAAGAGGTTTTGACACCCAATCATAAGTCTGTCCGAACCCGAAAGGGCAAGACATGAGAAACCTATAAATCTCGCTCAGACACAAAGTTTGGTTGAATAAACATCGGGCTGATTGACCAGGCAAGGTTCACTCTGATTTTGCTCCTCAGACTGCACTCTGATTATATGTAATATCTGCATACTTTAACTTTGTCTCAATTAAATCTTTTATACTAAGGTGAAGTGCTCCTGAAATTCTGTGCTCGGGTCATTTTGAACACCACAAATCCTTCATCTGGCAATGGCCTTCTGTGAGTCACCAGCGGAGCTCTGAGTAAGCAAGGCCGGGATCCGGAACCCAAGCCCCCGAGTCGGCACCATGAAGGATCTTTCGCGGTGACAAACGGAACTCGGAGCCGGGGAGATGACGCCCTGCCCAGCCTGGCACTCCGAGGTTCCGAGGGTAGGACCGGGGAGACAAATAGAGCTCCATCCAGCTTGCTCTAAATTTTGTTGTCGGCCACCAAGCACAACAAAACGCCAGCACGTCAGCATTAGACCAAGATGTTGTCATTACTGTTTTTAAAATCTTTAAAATAGGTCCAGCCGCTGCTCCGGTCCGAGACATTACAAATGGCGGATCCAAAAAAGTTCAATCTGGTCCTCTGGACATTCAAAAAAAACAAAAAACAAAACAAAGCAAAAAAATATAGAAACGTTTCGTCTCTCATCCAAGAGACTTCCTCAGTCTGAGGTGCTGTTTTCAGCTCAGTCTCTTAAATAGCACCTTCTCAGAGTGGATCAACCAGTTTGCTGCTGAAAACCAAAACCAACTGATCACATGCTCAAGAAGGACCATCCGCCTAGCAATGGATCATTAGCACACTGATGGCTATTTACTATTCACAGAGGGCTGAGTGATACTAATAATCACAGCATTGTAAGAGGGGGACAGTTGAACCCGGAGGCCTCCACCCCTGTTTAATGATGGACGATTTCTTTTCACAAAGATGGCCTCCTTTACTCCTCTCTCAAACCATCGTTCCTCTCCGTCCAGGATGTGAACATCTTCATCCTTGAAAGAGTGACCGCTGGCCTGGAGATGAGTGTAGACCGCAGAATCCTGGCCTGATGATGTTGATCTTCTGTGCTGGGCAATCCAAGATTCTGATGGATGGACTCTGATGGACTTTGACTCTGATGGACTTTGTGGATAAGGTGAGGGATGTCATCATGGAGACTGATGAAACAATGGTCTCTTTTGATGTCACATCACTCTTTACGTGCATTCCCGTTGATGATGCAGTAGAGGTGGTCAGTTTAAGATTAAAATCAGACACCACTCTGAGCAGCAGGACCACGCTTTCCACAGAACAACTGTGTCAACTCTTGAAACTGTGCCTGCAGTCAACCTACTTCACATATGGGGTGCAATATTATAGGCAGAAACATGGGTGTGCTATGGGGTCTCCAGTTTCTCCTATTGTTGCCAACCTGTACATGGAGGAGGTAGAAAAGAGAGCCTTGATGTCCTTTTCAGGGACACTACCAAGTCATTGGTTCAGGTATGTTGACGACACCTGGGTTAAAATTAAATCTCAGGAAGTCCAACATTTTACTGACCACATCAACTCTGTGGATAAATACATCAAGTTCACATGAGAAGATGTAAAAAATGGCAAGTTGGCTTTCTTGGACTGTGAGGTCTCAGTCTCTGATAGAGGACATTTGCTAACCGAGGTGTACCGCAAACCCACCCACACAGACCAGTATTTGCAGTTTGACTCCCATCACCCTTTGGAGCACAAGTTAGGAGTCATCAGGACTCTGTATCACAGAGCAGACAGCATCCACACTAACTCGGGAGCCAGGCAGAAGGAGAAATCCTACATAAAACAGGCTCTAGAGCAATGTGGATATCCTAACTGGGCCTTCCTGAAAGCAGAGAAGAAACCCAAACAGGACTCCAGTCAGCCATCAGGTGAAAAGGAGGAACCCAGACCCAGACCAGTGGTCATTCCGTATGTTGAGGGAGTATCAGAGAAACTGAGACGTTTATTTTCTAAACATAACGTCCCAGTGGCTTTTAAACCCCAAAATACATTACGGCAAAGACTGGTTCATCCCAAAGATCCAGTCCCCCGGCACAAACAGAGTAATATTGTGTATGCTGTTCAGTGTCAGGAGGGCTGTGATCAGTCTTACATCGGGGAAACTAAACAGCCACTGGCCAAAAGGATGGCCCAGCACAGAAGATCAACATCATCAGGCCAGGATTCTGTGGTCTACACTCATCTCCAGGCCAGCGGTCACTCTTTCAAGGATGAAGATGTTCACATCCTGGGCAGAGAGGAACGATGGTTTGAGAGAGGAGTAAAGGAGGCCATCTTTGTGAAAATAAATCGTCCATCATTAAACAGGGGTGGAGGCCTCCGGGTTCAACTGTCCCCCTCTTACAATGCTGTGATTGCTAGTATCACTCAGCCCTCTGTGAATAGTAAACAGCCATCAGTGTGCTAATGATCCATTGCTAGGCGGATGGTCCTTCTTGAGCATGTGATCAGCTGGTTTTGGTTGTCAGCAGCAAACTGATTGATCCACTCTGAGAAGGTGCTATTTAAGAGACTGAGCTGAAAACAGCACCTCATACTGAGGAAGTCTCTTGGATGAGAGACAAAACGTTTCTATATTTTTTTGCTTTGTTTTGTTTTTTGTTTTTTTTTAATGTCCAGAGGACCAGATTGAACATTTTTGGATTTTTCTACCTGGATTATTGAGCATGCATCAGGAAATGGCGGATCATTGTTTTGAAAAGTTTCTGAAGGATCCAGTGACTCCGCCCCCAACCAATCAGTGACTGACAGTGTTCTGACATCACATTTTAGTATCTACTCGTTCGGGTTAGAACCACAGAGCCAAGAGTCCTGAAAATAGGGACAGGTTCTACGTACCGTTACTAATGGAAAAGCCTCGGAACCGGGCTGAGTCGGGTCCAGTCAGGCCATACCGTTACTAATGGAAAAGGGGCGTAAATAAACTGAATTGAATTTAATATTTTCTTTGATGTGAGGTACTTCATCACGTTTCTTGAGTTGTGCACCAAACTGAACTCCAACTGATGTCTGATTACAATGGAAAAAAAAACTGACTGGGCTTGAAAACCATTCAGGTTAGGTTAACAACAGAGTGTAATGAGGACAAAGTGTGTGTTGCCTGTGATAGTCTGATGATCTGTCCAGGGTATACCCTCCTTTCTGACCCACTGACTGCTGAGGTGAGTTCCACACCCACCACCCTGAACAAGATTGGTTACAAAAAGTGAATGAGTGAGTTTTGCCTTTGAAAATTGTTGTATCAAGTTGTGCATTTTTTTTTACTAAAGTCAGAGTGTGACCGATGTCCTCTTTGTCTTGTACTTGTATCAGGTTGGACTCACGGTTCATATCTGCAGTTGGGGGTGAAGGAGTGGTTCGCCTTGTGACCCAGAGAGGCGCAATATTTATCTATCTGGTCAAATGGTTGTGGAACATCAATCACAGTATCTTCATCAAGTGAGATGGTATTTCCATTCAGAGCCCAGTCTCGGCTGTCCACCTGAGAAATCCAGAACGTATTCAGCAACAGGTTACAACAGCAGTCTTAAAAGGCATTTTCAATAGGCTTGTGGCAATAAACAATAAATCAATTGATCACATGATAAATGAAAATTATTCATTCAACCTTTATTTAGACAGGTTAATCCCACTGAGCATCAAGGACTCATTTACAAGAGAGAACTGATTTCAACAAAGAATGATGACAACAATGGACAATAGCGACAACAATAGACAATTATAAAAGAGGCATACACATTTATTTTTGCAAATTAAAATAAGATGGCAAAAAAGAGGCAAAAAATGCTAAATTTTAAGGCGAATATAGAAAACTAAAAACAGGAACATGTCTGCATTAGTCCTTGCCAGGAGGCCAATAGATTCTTAACGACACTTAGAAAGGTCGAGGTTGAGAGCTTCAAATCTTTTTGCAAGATATTCCAGGAAACAGGAGCAGAGTAGGAGAAGGCCCTTTTGCCTAGTCCAGTCCTCACTGAGGGAGCACTGCATGTAATCCAAAAAAGTTCAATCAGGTCCTCTGAACATTCAAAAAAAAAAAAAAAGCCAACAAAGCGAAAAAAATGTAGAAACGTTTCGTCTCTCATCCGAGAGACTTCCTCAGTCTGAGGTGCTGTATTCAGCTCAGTCTCTTAAATAGCACCTTCTCAGAGTAGATCAACCAGTTTGATGCTGACAACCAAAACCAGCTGCTCACATGGTCAAGAAGGATCATCAGCCTAACAAAGGATCATTAGCACACTGATGGCTGTTTACTATTCACAGGGGGTTGAGTGATACTAGCAACAACAACATTGTAAGAGGGGGACAGTTGAACCCGGAGGCCTCCACCCTGTTTAATGAGGGACGATTTCTTTTCACAAAGATGGCCTCCTTTACTCCTCTCTCAAACCATTGTTCCTCTCTGTCCAGGATGGGAACATCTTCATCCTTGAAAGAGTGACTGCTGGCCTGGAGATGAGTGTAGACCGCAGAATCCTGGCCTGATGATGTTGATCTTCTGTGCTGGGCCATCTTTTTGGCCAGTGGCTGTTTAGTTTCCCCGATGTAAGACTGATCACAGCCCTCCTGACACTGAACAGCATACACAATATTACTCTGTTTGTGCCGGGGGACTGGATCTTTGGGATGAACCAATCTTTGCTGTAATGTATTTTGTGGTTTAAAAGCCACTGGGACGTTTTGTTTAGAAAATAAACGTCTAGCATTTATTTTGTTTGAGAGAGGAGTAAAGGAGGCCATCTTTGTGAAAAGAAATCGTCCATCATTAAACAGGGGTGGAGGCCTCCGGGTTCAACTGTCCCCCTCTTACAATGCTGTTGTTGCTAGTATCACTCAACCCACTGTGAATAGTAAACAGCCATCATTGTGCTAATGATCCATTGTTAGGCTGATGGTCCTTCTTGACCATGTGAGCAGCTGGTTTTGGTTGTCAGCAGCAAACTGGTTGATCCACTCTGAGAAGGTGCTATTTAAGAAACTGAGCTGAATACAGCACCTCAGACTGAGGAAGTCTTTCGGATGAGAGACAAAATGTTTCTACATTTTTTTGCTTTGTTTTGTTTTTTTTTGAATGTCCAGAGGACAAAATTTAACTTTTTTGGATTTTTCTACCTGGATTATTGAGAATGCATCAAGATATTTTGAACTGCATATAATAATGTCCTAAGAGCACACGCTGTAGCTGCACTCACGCAGAAACATGTAGGAGGAGATGTATGAAGGCAGCAGACCAAGAAGTGATTTAAAGATGAAAATGTACCAGTGGGAGAGTCTGCGTGAAGTTAATGATGTTCAGTTAACCAGTGAATACAGGGTGCAGTGGTGGGTACGCTAATCACAGCCAGTTATGAATCTTAGTGCACCATGATAGACAGCATCCAACATCTGCAGGGTGCTTGTAGGAGCGTTCATGCAAATAATGTCACCGTAATCAATGGAGGGAAGGAAGGTCACAGTTACAAGGTGTTTCCTAGCATTCAGAGTTAGACAGAATCTGTTTCTGAAAAAGAAACCCAGTTTAACTTTCAGCTTCTTTACTATGTTTTCCACATGGAGCTTCAAAAAGAAATGTGAATCGACCAAGATACACAAATATTTATAGGAATCAACAAACTCAATAGGGACACCATTTCAGGATAAAATCGGAGTAAGAACTACTGGGACCGACTTCCTTTTTGAAAAAAGCATCCCTTTGGGTTTATCGGCATTTAAGACAAGTTTGAGGTGGAACAAATCTGACTGGATGATGTCAAATGCAGATTGCAAAGCTGGAAAGCCTTAGCAACTGTTTTAGCTCAACAATAAACAACTGTTATCGTTATATATTATATTATATATTATATATTTTGTGCGACTTAGTTCACTGTGGCGACCCTAACGCAGGGAGCAGCCGAAAGAAGGGGGAAAAAAATCATTATATATTATATATAGGTTTATTATTTATATAACCTAGGTTATATATTATATTATTATATTATATACATAGTTCCCATGTGACGTAATATCAGGGGCATTTCCGGTACGTCCTCCATGTTGTAAGGCTGCCTCTAGCATCAGGTACAGACACATTGCAGTTTAATGCAGTTTGTAGTTAATTTGCTCGAGTTTTTTTTTTTCTTTCTTTAAGTAAATTGCAATGGTTGTTTCATGCTAGGTTAGAGGACGTTACAGCCCGGTAGACGTTTGGGCAAAGCGCAGTTTTCACTTAATCCCAAAAATAAGGAAATATGAAGGACCTCCATCGGAGGAGCTCACCGTAGAACATTGTTGAGTCTGGCTAAGGATCTGCCCTCGAAGATGTCGTGCTCCAATCACTTTTTGTCCGGTCAACAAAAAATTCTATATAAATCATTTTGTTAAACAATATCAGAACAATGTATGAGTATAACTGTGTGTGTTGGAAATGATTTTTTTTCACGATTTAGCGTCTCTACTACTGTAGTTAGCTTAGAATGCTATGCTACGTGCAAACCTCCACAGCGTAACACTCACAGCAACAAAGTTCTGGTTCTGGTCCCGTGTTGAGCCTGGACTGCTTGTTGTCAGGAGGCTGCATGTTATTTTATTTAAACCTTTATTTAGCTGGTTAGATTTGATTGAGACAGTTTACATATCTTTTTGTTCAAGATAGACCAGGTCAATATGACATTACAGCAGCTCACAAAACATGACCCGTCATTAAACCAGAGTTATTAAAGCACACTTAAATAATGATGGTGAATAAAAGAAAATAAAAACAGACGTGAAGCTAAAATTGTACTAAAATGTGAGTGAATATCAGTTAAAACATTTACTAAACAAATCTTCAATAATTAATATAAATACGTGTGTTATATACAGTATAACACACTGTGTGTGATGCATATACTGTACAGTATATTCAATTCAATTCAATTCAAATTAAAAAATACTTTATTAATCCCAGAGGGAAATTAAATAATATTATTATAATAATAATATATATTAATATATAATATGCATCATAGACACACACATTGTAGTTAATATACATAATATTTGAACACTGCAACATTGTCAGACTAGAACCAGCAGTTTGTTTTGATTTTGAGTCCCTCTTTACTCTCGTGTGTGAATAAAGCAGCGGGATGCTGTCTGTACTGGAAATATTCCATAACACAAGTTCATCTTCTGGGTATTACAACATGTTTTATTGAATTATTTCTTTTTTCAGGAAGGCCTGCACACAAGTCAAACACAGACTGGTCTTCTACACTGAAGTTGACAGACACACTTACTCTGAGAAAGTCAGCAGCAGAGGAACAGCAGGTAAGGACACAAGCAACCGGCACAATAATTTAAAAATATTAAAGTAAATCTAAGATAAAATTACTAAAATCAATATAAAATTGAACATATATCTTTGTGAATGAGTAAGAATGTTAGCAACTGTATTAACTGTCTTATTTTAGACTTTGTGATGCAAACATGACAATGTTTAAAAAAAAAATAAAAATAAAGATTAGTAAAGATACAGACGAGTGAAGGGCCGAGTTCGATCCAAAGAAAAGCTCCAGTGTGAGGACTCTTCTAGACCAGGGTCCAGTCTCAGATCCTAGACCTGGGTCCAGTCTTGGATCCTGAGGGGTTAGCTGCTCCAATCGGGCGGTCCCACATGAACAGGAATCTGTTCCAGTTTGTTTAAAGTCAGAAACTACATTGGCCTCCATCATTCCTTGTTGAAGAGTGTTTTTGATCTGGTATTTATTCTGGAGCCCAGTATGTTAAGCTGCATGTAGTCATTTTCATTAAGACATAAAATCTCCCACAGTTCTCATATTGTATTCAGTTTCAACTGTTTTGAATTTCTAATTATAGGCTTTGACTTAGAACTGTGTCAGTCTCCTTCTGGAGGAGGAACCATACATGCATGTTTTTATGTTTTGTACATGTCAATAAAACACTAAACTGGTAATACAAAAAAGTTCAATCTGGTCCTCTGGACATTCAAAAAAAACAAAAAACAAAACAAAGCAAAAAAATATAGAAACGTTTCGTCTCTCAT